GACTCATTACTGGACGTGTGATAGCAGAAGCTTTGGGTGTGACTGAGAATAACTTGGGTTTGAAGATAGAAGGAGGAAGTGACTGGGGAAAAATCCATTATTTGAAAGGAATCAGAATCTATAATAGCTGGAAAGGAGACAGATAAAAGGCAGCTGCCTTAGGGAGTTTGTGCTGGGTTCTTTTCTGGGGAGAAAAATGGTCAGGTTTTGCGGAGGAGGAAGACCCATTACCAGTGGGAGGTGAGGGCCACAAGAGAGGATGGAGGAGTTAAAATCTGTAGACAAGAGTAGAAAGTGGTACTGACTGGAGCATAGATAGAATAACAGGTTCTTCCTCTGACACAGCGAGGAAGGGGGTTAAGATGAGAGCTGAGATGGGTGGGTAAACTGTGGGGACAGGAAGTTGAGGATGCTAATACCTAGTAGCCACAATTTCCTCTGATGGCTGATAGGCTGGTTATCTGCAGAAACAAAGGTGGAAAGTACAATAGAAATCTCAAAAATGACGAATACAGAAATTAGTCCTTTAGAGAGTCAGAGCTGACCAGGGGTGCATAAAGTCCCTGATGTAGCATTATGGGCCCAGTCAACTGCACATTTAATGTGGAACTGTCTGGATATCTGCATGATGCCCACTCTCCTTTCCCCCACCAACCCCAGCATCCAATAGCAGCTAGATATTAAAACAGGGAAGGGATAGATTCTCATCAACTCTATAAACTTTATAAACTCCAAAAACTCTATAAAGAACACTTCAAGCTTTTTGATAAGACACTGGCTGCCAGTAAACTGATTTTCTCGACTTCATTAGTTGTTAATCATTTGCTCTTTGTTCACATTATGAATTGCCAATTATTAATAAAGGTCACATATAAAATTCATGATGCTATTTGTTTTAAATACATTGATTATATGGTAATGGAGGAGGGGGATAGCAGAGACCATAAAATACTTATGCACAACTGTTTTGATCTGTTCTGTACTCTGTGACTATCCCTGACCTACTTCTGACTAGGCTGTGCTGTCAACAGCTCAGCTACTGAGTGAGGGTCAAGCTGACCATGAATGGTGGGGTGGGGGAGGTGGTTGGATTTTACTGAATGAAACTTTAGAATCCAGGTATGACTCATTTAGTTCATCAGGAGTTGACAGTAATGTTTTTGGTGTGTGTTTTAGTAGACTACCAGGAAAGTTCAGCAAAACTGTATTTTTAGTGATGTAGTTAGGGGAGAAGGAAACTTGTTCTCTAGCTGTCAGTTGAATAGACATGAGGCGATATTTAATTCTTTCTAATGTGTACACACATACACACACACACACAAAATTGAGGATAAAAACTATTTTTAGCATCATCGATTGAAATTCAGGAATGAAGAATTCACAAAATAAATGTTGTTGTAAAAGAAAGGCATACAGTTTCAATAAACCTCATCAGATATCACAGGAACTGGGTTAATTGTTTAACAGTCTGTCTGGTGTCTTCATAATTAAAGTACATTGGGTGGAAGTTTTTAAGAATAATTCTTTTTTTCAAATACTTGAAGCAGAGCAGCAATGAAGACATAAAAAAAAAAAAAAAATCTGACAATGTGTTAAAAAGACCAGCAGATGGCGCCCAGCAAACCCAGTAGGCAAACAGACCCTTTTACAGAGTATTCCTGTGTCCAGGTTGTTGTAAACTAAACGTAATTTAGTAATGCTAAGAGCAATATATGGTAGTTTTACTTGACTTAATGCTACATAGAAAGAGTAATCTGATAATTAAGGTCAGGCTGTTCAAGGAAGCGTAATTGTCTTTTTGCTTTTCACCTTACTGGGCAGTGCTATCACCAATAATAATAATAAGAAGAAGAATAACAACAACAACAAAAAAACCCTTCATTTAGCTTGGAATATAACAAGTTGGAGAAAGCCTGTCAGAGGCCTTAGTGGTAGAAATTGAAGAGACAGTAATCTCTGTAATACAAATTAGGGGGAGGGAAAGTTGCCATTCTAGACACAGTAATGCCTTGACTTTAGAGATAAATCGTGGTCAGAAGCATATGTCTCAGTGTTTTCCTTTCTTGGCCTTCATCTGTACTCAGAAAGATCACAGTATGTTAGTGAGGGCGTATAACAAACTTCTCCCCATTCTGTTCATTAATCTGGTGCTATTCTGAACTAAGAATTAAGCTAAAGAAAACTGAACTGAAATTAGTCCAGCTAATCGCAACTATTAGTAAGTCCCAGATGTATGTTTGGAGGAAAATAGACTCTTTTGCCCTCTCATTTTGGACAAAGTGGCACAAGATTACAGTTAACCTCTTTTATACTGGACATAAGAGTCAAAAGAACAAGCCAGACTTAAGGCACTGGAGTGCTGACCTCCGTGACACTCACAAGTATGCATCATGCAGTTAAAATTTTCTCCTGGTCCATCATCAGGCACTGGAAATTCTAATTGACTCTGTCAAAATTGAGACACTGATTCTTAACTTTTGAAAGTTGCCCAATAGAATATCAGCTATAACCTTTAGGACTCTGAAATCTAAGCCCAGTGCCACAATTAACTGAACATTAATCTTGCAATCAATCATTTAGTATTTCCTCATTTCTAAAATAGTCTTATAATTGCTAGGAAAACAAAATAAAAAAATATTGAAAACTTTTGAATAATGTAAGGTATATTTTTTAAAGAAGAGTATAAGCATAATCTGTGCTAGATTGCCTCTAACATTTTCTAAACAAAGGGCATTTCAATGTATAAAACCATAAATGTTTTTCTACTTTACTTATCTAAAAATGCCTAATTTCATTTGTTTTGGTGCTCTCCATCTTCCTTAAACAGTCCCATACCTTCTGTTTTTATTTGTTTGTTTAGGAGAGTGTTGAAAGAAGATAAAGGGGAGTGGCAGATACACTACCAGAGGGTAAGAAGGCAAAATTATCTTCCTGCTGCCAATTCTGAAGACTAGATATGAATGACAGTCTCTTTTAAATCTTTAATTCAAGGTATTTTGTGGACAAAAATGCCACATATTCTACACAAGCCAGATGACTGGTATAGCACCTGTTTGTCCTCTAGGAAGTAATCCTTAGAATACTCCCCTCATTGTTTCAAACTAGAGGCCTGATGCACAAAGATTTGTGCAAGAATAGACCTTCCTTCCCGGCTGCCGGCACTGGCTTCTCTCAGGCATCCAGGGCTCGGGTTGCTTTGCTCTGGCTGCTGCCACCACCCACCGGACCCGGGCTGAGGTGGTCAATGCCACCTCATGGCCACCATTTAGTCGTTTTGGTTGTGATGCCTCTTAGCCTTTTATTATTATGATCATCCAGTGCCTCCCCCAGTTGTATTATTTATCCTCAAACATCAAGTGCTCCAAAGGCTTTTACATAGTGGCTTCAATGAAATGTAATTATGACACAGTTATTTGTGATTGACTTTCTCCAAAAATAGGACATAAGCATGTTAATAAAAGGTATGGTCTCTAAGGTTGCACCAAGTGTGAAGGCTACCAAAGTAATTTAGAAAAGGAAAAGGCCAGCCCAGCCAGTGAGGTTCAGTGGTTGAATGTCAACCTTTGAACCAGAAGGTCACAGTTCAATCCCAGGTTGCTGGCATGATCCCCAGTGTGGAGCATGAAAGAAGCAGCTGACCAATAATTTTCATCATGGATGTTTCTATCTCTCCCTCTCTGAAATAAATAAAAATATAATTTTTTTTAAAAAGAAAAGGAAAAGGCCATAAAATACTTTCAGTTACAAAGTAGGCCTTGCTTTCTCCATCTAATAGTTTAAGTTTAGCAACAAAGTCCTTATAAAATTGGACTTTGGGGAGAAATGGTTTGGAATTTGATCTTGGGGAGAAATGGTTTCTAATGCTGGGAATAATACATGTACATAGATATTAACTCCTAAGTTTTCTGTTTATTTTTAATATATGTGCACAGAATACAAAGATAGTTCAGATATTTAGCTCACTGGTGTTATATTTTATAATCTGGACTAAAGGGAATAAGTAAAAATTGTGTTCAGATATTTTTCTAATGTCATTCAAACAAAATTACTACAAGAGATTTCATGATACTGAAATTTATATACATGCAATTGAACCTAATTCTTGTTATATCCCATAGATGATTAAGCAGTCCTTATTATTCTGTGCTCAGAAAAGAACTTAGAAAGTGGGTCCCTTCACATCATCCCAAGTTTCTAAGCTGATCACTAAAGCCTAATGAGTGTCTCTGAAACAGAGTGGTATAAAGGGTCTTTTGAGGTTGTCTAGACTCTAGTTCCCAAACCCAACAGATTATCAGAAACAGACTACTGGCCTCACGCCACACTCTAAAAAAGGCAAGCAGGAAAAAAAAAAAAAAAAAAATCTATTTTAAATACTAACAAGCTTTGTAACCACAAGCAATTTACTAACCCCAGTTTCTTCCTGTAAACTTGAGCTAACAGTAACTCCTGTAGGATAAAGTTATTAATAATAAAGGCAAACCACCTAAAATGCAGTAGTTCTGCATGTAAATGTGGAAATGGTATTAATTCATCCTAATTCATAGAGTGCAAGCCATAATTTTTTGGCTGCAGTTGGAATCCATGAATGACTATCCCAGTCTCAGTTGAAACACCATCACTCACATTTGTTAGAATGCAGAATCTAAACTTTTATTGCATACGTAAGGAAATTATATAAAGAAAATTATGTCCATGCATGAATGACTCAAGATTCATATCACTTTTCCAACATGATGCTTCTTTATAACTGTTGACTAAAGTTTAGTAATGCTTTCTAGGCTTTCCAAACCTAATTTCTGCCATCTTTTTTGGTCTATAACATATCTCAAAAGTTAATTAACATTGCAGTATATTGTAATTAAAAACATTTAAAGTCAGTTTTTATTAGAGTGTAATATTCTGCTTGTGGTCGTTTATAGATGTAATTTGAAGGAATGTTTTTGTTTGTTCACTTTTAACTCTTAACCTTTCCTTAGGTTCACTGATGCTGAAGTACTATGAGCGTTCAGAGCTTCTGGAAAAACTACAAAGTTCTGATTGTTATGGTACCTTTAATTGGATTCATACACTTGGGGTGGCACAAAATCAAAAGCAGCCCTATATTCCAGGTACCTAACAAGGACAACCTTCCTGTGCCAGATAGTCTGGCACTTACAAGCCCTCCGAAGGACTACATCCAAAAGAAATAACAGGTTGCATTCTTCAGGTAAGGCGATTTAATCTGTAACCAAATAGTATGTTCCAACCAATAGTGTGTTCCAACAATGGGCAACATTATCTTTTAAAAAGTATAGAGTTCTGTCAAAAAGAGCCTAAGTTGGTAAGTTACCTGTTGATTTTATTATCCACAGGCAAATATTATTCTGTAGTTGCTTCTAGAAAAGATTCCTCCAGAGACTTTTGACACTTACCTGGCAATTCATTTAGATGAAAAGAGAAAGGGAGTCAATCCATTACTTGTCCTGACCTTTTCCCTAGCAGTGTCACCAGGATCATGAAAAGAGCAGTTGTCTTCTTGCCATCAATCCATTCCAGAACATACAAACCTATAACTTGTAAACGGTTCTTTTCTTTACTATTATTATTTTGTTTTTTCCCAAGACAAAACTAATTGTATTCATTCCTTAGTATCTAATGTTTTTGCTTCAAAATAAGTTGTTCTTTTGAGAGTCAAAACACTTTCAATGATTTCTTTCCATTTTATAAAGATATTAACAGCCAAAAGATGTGGTTATGGTCTCACTACCACAAGACTGTTGATGTAGCTGCTAACTTCATTCCACTGAAATTCTATAGTACATATCACCATTATGTACTGAAAATATTTTTACTGGAGAAATTATCTTATTGATCAAAATTTCTGTTGTGAGCCGAAACCGGTTTGGTTCAGTGGTAGAGCATTCGTCTGTGGTCTGAAAAGTCCCAGGTTCGATTCCGGTCAAGGGCATGTACATTGGTTGCGGGCACATCCCCAGTAGGGGATGTGCAAGAGGCAGCTGGCTGATGTTTCTCTCTCATCGACGTTTCTAGCTCTCTATCCCTCTCTCCTCCTCTCTGTAAAAAATCAATAAAATATATATTTTTTAAAAAAATTTCTGTTGTGATGTGGTGTGTGTGTGTGTGTGTGTGTGTGTGTGTGTGTAAATTAATGTATGGAAGTCACTTCACTAAAGTTTCTTATAAATTTATTTCACAGATATTGCAGACTCTAACCATTGAAATAGTTAAGTACCTTAGCTGTTCCTGGCATAGGATGAACATAGATTTTTTTTCCCTCTCCTTATACAGTAATAAAAAAAGATGACTGTAACTTTATCACAGGGAGAAAGCTGGCCATCATTGTCTTTACTTTATTTGGATCTAGTTGCATGATTACAGCCTTTAACTAAATTGGGAGGCATGGTAAACAATTTAACACTCCACATTAATATTCTTTCATTCTCTTCACCTCTTCTTTGTGATCTTCACATTAACCTTTTTGGTCTGTGCTCAGAACTTTGATGAGTTTTATTTATGCTAAATACTTTCCAAATGGTTAGCATAGTTAGCATAGTCCTGAAAATAACTAATAATTGGCTGAACCTTCCTTCAAAGCACCAAACCTTGACAGATAAGGTCCCATAGCCTGAGATAAAAGTGTCTGATTTTATGCCTCACAGCACACTACTTATTGTCTTGTTAAGGAAACTGGTACACTTGGAATATAAAACATTTTATGGCATTTAGAGTCTTTGCTATTGAATTGCAAATCAGAGCCTATTTTTCTCTGTGATCTACACATTTTCTGGTTTTTGTGCTTATTGTAATTAACCAAAGTTTTGAGAAGGATTAGTTGTAGGACATTAAAACTGAAAATCACTGATTGATAGGGTAAAACTGCAGAAAATTAGCTCTGACTATAGTCAGATATTTAAAACATGGTTTGTTCTTTGTTTCAATATGTTGTGCTAAACATAGACTATACATTGAAGCCTCTGCAATAGGAATACTAATAGTTACCTTGTCTTCGTAATTATATACAAGCAAGATTGGATATAAATAAATGTACTTCTAGTGAGACCTAAGGTTTGCAAAGAAACCAAAGTTATAGAAAAAAACAACAACACACCACATAAGATCTAGATATAACAGAATAAGTACATTTGGGACTTTTTTTAAGATTCAGAGATCAAGTTCTATGTGTTTCATAATGTAACTTTTCTCTTTTAGAAGCATATCATATTCAAAGTACTGTAAGCTTTCTAGGTGTGTTGTTCCTTCCAAAATCATTTAATGTCAGCCCTTTTGTTTTCCCAGAGGTTTTCATTGAAGAATAAAGGAGTGGATGTGTAGTCTAAGTTGATTTATCTCTTTCATGTTCTAGAGCCTTGTGCCAGTTGGTAATTTCTTTCTCTAAAGAAGGAACAGAGTTTAAAATAAATGATTAAAGTATAGCCTATAAAGTGTTTTGGAGTCATTTCTTTAAAATGCTTTACTTTTATATCCTATAGAAAGAAGTTTTGAATCGGAGTTTGATATTGAAAGAAGAAATGAAAACCACCAGTTGGATTAGGAAGAACTGGCTTCTTGTTGCTGGCGTTTCTTTCATAGGTGTCCATCTTGGGACCTACGTTATACAGTGGGCTGCAAAACAGTCTGTAAAATCTCAGTCCGGAAGCAAACAGAAGATTATCAAAGAATGAAGTAAAATAAAATTTGAAATTACTATGTCATTCAATCATTTCATGCCGATTAGCTTTATAAACCTGAAGCTATGTAATTCTATAATCACAATGCATATCATTATCGAAGAATACTTTTCTAAAATGTTAAAATAAATAGAAAGTTATGATTAACAAAATAAAAGCTGTCTTCACCAATTACCGCCTGAAGTGAGATGTCTCGTTTAGAAGCTAAAAAGCCATCCCTGTGTAAAAGTGAACCGCTGACAAGTGAGAGAGTCAGGACCACGCTTTCTGCCTTGAAAGGCATCGTAGCCTCGTGCTATGGCCCTTCGGGTAGACTGAAGCAGCTGCACAACGGCCTTGGTGGCTCTGTGTGCACCACCTCCCAGTCGTCCACTCTGCTCGCTAACCTTTCCGTCTCTCACCCCATCTTAAAGATCCTGACAACTTCTGTGCAAAACCATGTGTCCTGCTTCAGTGACTGTGGCCTATTCGCAGCCATTCTCTGCTGCAACCTGATTGAAAATGTTCAGAGATTAGGCTTGACACCCGCCACTGCCATTAAATTAAATAAGCATCTTTTGAGCCTCTGCACCAGTTACCTCAAGTCGGAGATCTGTGGTTGTCGAATCCCAGTGGACTTTAGTAGTACTCAGATCCTTCTCTGTCTGGTACGCAGTGTATTAACGAGTAAACCTGCCTGCATGCTCACCAGAAAGGAAGTAGACCACATCAGTACTCTGATTCTGAGAGCCTTTTTGCTTACAATCCCAGAAAACGCTGGAGACCACATCATTTTAGGAAATAGTATAATTGTTCCTTTAAAAGGTCAAAGAGTTGTAGACTCGACTGTGTTACCTGGAATACTTATTGAAATGCCAGAAGTTCGATTGATGAAGATACTGCCTGTCAAAAAGTCAGATTCCCTCAAGGTGGCCCTCTTTCGCGTGTCTTTATCTGGAGACCTTTCCGATACTGGAGAAGGAAGTGTGGTGGTCAATTTCGGGGTTTCTCTTGAAAATGCAGTTCTAGACCAGTTACTTAACCTAGGAAGGCAGCTAGTTAGTGATCACGTAAATCTTGTCTTGTGCCAAAAAGTTATCCACCCATCTCTGAAGCAGTTTCTCGGTGAGCATCGTGTTCTTGCCATAGACAGAGTTGGAGCGGCTCTGATGGAACCCCTAAGTAAAGTGACAGGTAAAACACTCAGTTTTTGTCCCTATAGTAAATAAATCACACTTTTGGGGGGCAGAGATATTTCTGATATGTGTCACTGTTAACATCATGAAAAACTGTAGAAGCTGCCAACCTCACAGCATATATTAGTATCATTTCTGGCAGCAAACATATCTGGAAAAGATCCTATATGGTTCACTTATTAAAGATTGCGTGATTACGGTTATTTTCTATGTATTGCCCAGCTCTAAAATGTACTGTAGAGTCTGTTAAAGTCTAAAACTTAACTGTCAAATATTTTACGGATTATTGGGAAAAGTAACATCCTCAATCATAAGGTCTCTCACAATTTACACAAAATTCTGTTTGAGTTTTACAAAGTTCTTAAGCCACATTGTAACTCAGAAGGTAATTTTTCAACTAAGATATTGCTTTTTCTTCCTTCTTATGTAACTCCAGCAAACAACTGTACTGCCTAAATAGTGGTTCCTAATTAAGGGTGTATGTGTTCTAGCTTTAAATATTTCCAGCTGAGCTCCTTGAAAGCCAGGATCATCATTTACTTTTAGAGCTCATAGCAGGTCTGGTACACAGTAGGTGTTCTAAAATGTTTGTTGAATTGACTGTGATATAGTAACTTGCAGAATTATAATGGAAAAATTCACTGCATTTCACAAACTCAGTCAATTCAAAGTATTTCACTAACTCAGTAAATTCAAATTCAAGGTTGACATTTACTTACTAGAGCCAAAGAAAAATGACAAACTGAAAGTTCCTGATTCAAGCCACTTTTCATATATTTCTTCAACTACATTAGAATCTGTCAGAAAGATGGTCATTTTATTGTATTTTTTAAGGCATTAGATAAACCATTGTTAAAGTTCATTGGTTTTTCTCTTAAAGTCATCAAAAAGGAGAATTATGCATGTCAAGTAATGAATACATAACATCTCTGGGTTACTACCCTACCTTTGTAATACTGTCAAATGCTTGTCAAAGAGGAAATTTTTAAATAATGGAAATAGTTCTCTGGAACTCATTGTTGATATGAGTCAAACTTATATTTGCTGAATTTTCATAAATGGGTAATTTCCAGTTATGAATATTAGATATTACAGATTATTTAGTCAGTATAAAGCATTTTCCCACAAAAAAATATCATAAATAGGCAATGAGTTTCCACATCAGTCCACAATTGCTATTTATTCCATATGCAATTAGAACATAGTATTAATAGCCAGAGCTTTAGTATTAGATCTTGGGATAAGAAACCTTTTGAGACAGAAAGGTGAAATACATTTTGGGCCTAATTCATCTTCCAGGATATATCTAGGTTAACATTACCTCCTTTCTCCCACTATGCAGCAATTTACATAAAATCCCTCTTTAATGATGATCTGAGTTAAATAGTGGGGATATTATGCATGAGCAGATAGTGGAGTTAACTGTGCATGGGTGATGTGTGTGAAGCTTGTTATGGCTTACAGAGCATTTTTAACATTGGGTTTATTTGTGAAATAGATATAATTCCCATTTTTACTCAAATGGGCAAGCCCACTCTGAAAAGTGGCATGATGGCTTATTCCACCTCCAGGGAAGTAAGCAGTAAAGCTAAATCCTTTCACTATAGATTCTCTGTTGTGTTCACCATGAGAAATTATACAAGATGAAGGTGTTTTACTTTCCCATAAGTTTTTTTTTTTAATATATGGTAATTCAAATATCCTTTATTTTTTGAGGCTTCAGAAGTGTTGAAGAAAGGATATTCAAGAAGTTAAATTACTCAGAGATTATTTTCTGGGTTCTCACAAATTTTTTGAGGTGGAAGTGCTATAGACACTATTGTTTTAACCCTATTGGTTTGAAAGAGGAAACTGAGCCAACGGAGTACGTTGCTCAATTTTAGTAATGTTAAGATTTTAAACTTGAGTTGTTATTTCTTTTAGAAGTTTGATGTCATTTCTTATATAACTTTCACTACATTTTAGAGACTTTGGAAAACTTCCAGTCATCTTCTCATTCTATTTTTATTAATTTTTGTTTTGTAAAATTTTACTTGTGCAGGAGGGCAGGCAAAATAATATATCCAAGAATAACAAAATGAAATTAGAATGTTACATATTTTATTTTGGCACAAGTTAGGTAGCTATCTATAATAATAAAAGAGTGATGTGCTAATTAGACTGGACATCTTCCATATGTCATTCCTGATGTCCTTCCACATAAAATTGGGGCTAGAGGGAAGCAGTTTGGGTCATGGGTGCCGGAGGGAAGCTGGTGCCAGCAGCTGGGGGAAGGGAGGCCTACGCTTGCACAAATTTTTGTGCATAGGGCCTCTAGCTTACATATAAAGAGTTGGGGGGGGGGGGGGGATTCTGTATGTTTACTAAATGGTGCCCCAAACAGCTATTTGGATGGGTTAATTTATGTGATTTAAGGTGAAAATAATTGTCTTTTAAAAATAATAGCCTATGCATCCGCTTCACCCTATTCCAGAGTAGTGGGGTTCTTAATTTTAGGTCTCTAATCTGTGAATGGACCTCCAGAGTTTCTAGATTCCCAGAAAATACATGCAACATTTTGTGTCCCCTTTTCTAGAGAGTACAACAAAACTTCTAAAATATGTTCAAAGAAGTCAGTGAACTAAAAGAACCTCTGCTTTACTACATTTGTATATCATTTTAATAGCAGAATATTGCTTATTTCATGAGTTTAAGAAGATCCATCTCGTTCTTTCTTTATTCTCTATGTCGTAACTTAAATGACATGCTTATGGGGCTTACATTGGCTAGGCAAAAAAATGTTATAATTTTAAATGATTGTACTAGTATACTCCATTTCCACTCATATGTTTTGTGTTTTAATAGGAACACATCCTATTGGTTCCCTTGGCTCAGTCTCTCCTAGTAGTTATGGAAGTGTGAAAGATCTGTGCACTGAAAAATTTGGCTTCAAATGGTTTTTTCATCTTATTCCTAATGAAGCAACTGTCTGCAGCTTGCTTCTCTGCAACAGAAATGGCACTGCCTGGGATGAGTTGAAGGTAGGTAAAGAACTTTGACTTCCATATCTAGGGCCTGAGGCAGGAATTAAATAGTTATTCAGAAAGCTATAATGTCACATTGGTGAGCAAAGTTTCCCCTCGCCCCCATAACTTCCCTAGGTGCTATAGAAAGCAAAAACAACAAAAAGTGAGAGAATTAAAGCCACAAGGACACACTAGTCAACCTGGCATATGTTATCATTTATTATTTCTAGTATTTTTCATAAGAAATTAACTTGAATTATATACTCTTTAATGCTAAATGTGTATGAATAATTCACTTAGATACTGAGTTCTCCAGAAATACCCATCCTCCACCTCTTAATAGAGTTTGTTCTCTTCCAGCAATAACACATCAATTTTTTTTTAAACTGTATTTTTATTGATTTTAGAGAGGAAGAGAGAAAGAGAGAGAGAGAAACATCAATGATGAGGGAGAATTATTGATTGGCTGCCTCCTACACGCCCCACACTGGGGATTGAGCCCACAACCCAGGCATGTGTCCCTGACAGGAATTGAACCCAAGACCCTTCAGTCCACAGGCCAACACTCTATCCACTGAGCCAAATCAGTTAGGGCCACATGCAACTTTTATATAAGGGAAGTGATAACATATGGTATTGCTCACAAGCTTGAAGATTCATGTATGCTCAAGGTTATATACCGTTGATAAATACTAAAGGTTTTTGTATTTTTAAAAAAATATATTTTATTGATTTTTTACAGAGAGGAAGGGAGAGAGATAGAGAGCTAGAAACATCGATGAGAGAGAGTCATCGATCAGCTGCCTCTTGCACACCCCCCACTGGAGATATGCCTGCAACCAAGGTACATTCCCTTGACCGAAATCGAACCCGGGACCTTTCAGTCCCCAAGCCGACGCTCTATCCATTGAGCCAAACCGGTCCCGGCATGTATTTTTCTTTTTATTACTGCTGGGTCACAGCTATATTATCATTTCCATAGCAACTTGAAATAAGTTTTACTAGTATATCAGCTATTTATTTAGATTAAAATAATTTTTTAGTAAAAGTACTAACGAACTTTGCTTGACCCAGTTACTTTGAGGCCATTCATTTGTGAATCTCAATTTGCAGAGCTAAGTATGGTATATATGAAAGGTGATATTAATCTGGCCATGAAACCAAACATTTGGCTAAGGTATTTTTTAAAAATCTATTTTATTGATTTTTAACAGAGGAAGGGAGAGAGATAGAGAGCCAGAAACGCTGATGAGAGAGAAACATCAGCCAGCTGCCTCTTGCACACCCCCTACTGGGGATGTGCCCGCAACCAATGTACATGCCCTTGATCGGAATCAAACCTGGGGCCTCCCAGTCTGCAGACCGACGCTCTACCACTGAGCCAAACCAGCCTCGGCTGGCTAAGGTATTTTTTAATCTCTAATCTTTGTTAAACCTAAAATGTATTCATCACATTATAACCTTGGACGCACAGATTTTATTCTTTTGCAATTAAAATCAGGCTCTTTGAATTTACTATTTAAGTTGCCTTGAGGACATGGCTATATTTCTTTATGTATCTGATGTCACTGTCTGATTCTGGTTCTTTGTCTTGTAGCTCACATGTCAAACAGCACTGCATGTTTTGCAGTTAACAATCAAGGAACCGTGTGTCTTGTTGGGAGGTGGCTGTACTGAAACTCACTTGGCAGCATATATCAGACACAAGGTAAGTTCAATAGTCCTTCTCAGATTATCTGTTTTCAGCAGTATTCATTTTATGAGATGTTAAGTCAATTAGAATACCCTGGAGCCTTTACTGCTTAATTTCTCTACAATCCAAATCAGATATTGTATTAGAAAACACTTGAGGAAAACAACGCTTGCAAATATAAGATAAAATCTTTATCACAATGGTTATTATTAATATAACCCATTACCAAATGATCACATTCTTTGAGTATTGTCTAAATATTGCATGTTGAAATAAGTATTCTGTTAATGACAGTTGTCATATCAGGGATCCCAGCTGCTGTGGTACAATAGTAATTTATATTCACAAGGAAAGTGCTAAGATTCTACAAAATACTTCAATACTTTTGGATCATCAAGAAAAGATTTCATTAATTTTATTTTTTAAAGCATTCCAAATATTAAATTCTATTACATTTTTAAATGGTATCCATTTATGATATTTACTAGAAGCTCAGTGCACAGATTCGTCCAGAGTCTGTCTCTCCCAGTCTTGATCAGCTGGATCCCAGCAACAAGCTAACCTACCAGTCAGAGTGTTTGCCCTCCTGGTGGTCAGCGCGTATGTGTCATAGCAACTGGCTGAATGGTTGAACAAACTGTCAAACACTTAGCATATTAGGCTTTTATTATATATGTTTACTTCTATCAAGAAGAATTTTTTTAGTAATCTAGGAAACCATTGCCTAACAACAGATAAATTTAGTGCATAATATTATAGTTCTAATTATTTTATAAATACTGACTTTTATTTGAAAGTGGATACAAATAGATATGTGTTTTTTAGTTATTTGCAGCTGATTCTTTGTTTGGTCAGGAGTATTATCAAGAGGCTACAGAATTTCTAGTGGATGATTGGGGCTGGAGATAGTATAAATGTTTCCTGCTTCCTTACATAATTTAAAATCTATGTGATGATAAAGCCCATTCATGGAAAGTTATCAGAATATCTATTATGAAAAATAGTTCCCATCTGTAAATGCTGACTGGATAATAATATAGTCTGCAAATAGGACTGAGTAAACTAGAAAAAGTTTTTTGCAAGAAGAAGGTATCTTAAATAGGATTTTGAGGAAACAATACAGCATTGAAAATATAGGTGCCATTGCTGGTGTGGTTCACTCGGTTGGTTGGTGCATCATCCCAAGCACTGAAGGGTCTTAGGTTCAATTTCTGGTCAGGGTGCATACTTAGATGGCGGATTTGATCACTGGTAGTGGCTGCTCTGGGAGGCAACTGATTCATGTTTCTCTCACATTGATATTTCTTTCTCTCACTCACTCCAATATTTCTCTCCCTCTCTCCGTCTCTGTCTCTGTCTCTCTCTCTCTCTCTCTCTCTCTCTCTCTCTCTCTCTCTCTCTCTCTCTCAGGTTTTCTCTGTCTCTCTTTCTCTCTTATTCCCTCTCAAATTAATAAAGAATATATTTTTTAAGGAAGAAAATATGGGAATATAATATTCTTAGAGATGATCTCATCTGGTTCAAATCTCCTGGATTAAAAAAAAAAAATGCTTTTCTTCCTAATTGGAACTTGTAAAGCATGCAGTGCCGAATATGCACTTCATCCGCCATCTTCTTAGCCCTAGTTTTGCAACAAAAACCAAACCAAACACAAACTTTTTCAAGCAAAACTTGTTAATTGCACTTCACACGTTCTGTAGATACCACGTGTTTGAAGGTTATGTCAATACAAGTCAACGCCAAGCAAGATTTTAAATGAATGTTTAAAAACGAATGTTTAATTATTACTAGACCCGATAGTAACTTTATGAATAAGGGTTTAAGCAAGCATTCTATTTTTTCAGAAACATTTTTATAGCACTAATTGCTTTGTATGTGTTTTTAATTGTTTAATTACTCTTTAGACTTTTAATGATCCAGAAAGCATTCTTAAAGATTGTGGATGTACTCCAACAGAACTTCAACTAATTGCTGAAGCATTTTGCAGTGCACTAGAATCTCTCACTGGCTCTTTAGAACATGATGGAGGTGAAATTCTCACTGACATGAAGTATGGACACTTTTGGTCCGTTCAGGCAGATTCTCCCTCAGTTGGTAACTGGCCAGATTTGCTTACAAGATGTGGCTGCGGATTATACAATAGCCGGGAAGAACTCAGCTGGTCTTTCTTAAAGACTGCTCGGCATCCTTTTGCACCACTACCTTGCCTTCCCCATGAAGCTGTGGGCTCAGCCAATAACCTGACCTTGGACTGTTTCACTGCTAAGCTCAGTGGCCTACAAGTGGCTGTGGAGACAGCCAATTTGATTTTGGATCTTTCATATGTCATTGAAGATAAAAACTGATATAAGGGAATAGCATGTTTATATTAAAAAAAAAAAAACTGTCAGTTGTTAATTAAGAAATACTGATTTATTTGTTCTCTCTGCATTTTTGGGTAGATGATTCACAAAATTATAAATTTATTTATATAAGGAAAAAAATGCATGATTCTTGAATAGAAATACCATAGTATAATAAAAATGTGAAGCATTATTAAAAATATTGCAGTTATCTTAAGGATTCCACAGATACCACTGTACGTTTCTCTAAATTTTTGCTGTTGTTATTTTGACATCATTCTAAGAATATACAGAAATAAAAAATTCCTAATCTGTCCTAATCTATGCCTTTGTTTGTATATACTTATTATAGATATTTTCAGTTATTAAAATTCAATTTCAAAATATCACAAAGCATCCAGTACATATTGCTCAATCAGAAGAAGTACTCAAACTGTACATTTAGCAAAATTTCAGTGTTCTTTATCTGAGACTATATTTATTCCGTGTTTAAGTAATTGAAGTAGAACCTGATCTACCAGCAACCGCTCATTTTTATCACACTTCTTCATTTTTGTTATTTTGAGAAAATGTGTGATTAGGAAAAAATAGATTTATATAGTAACTAAGCAGCATAGTGGAAAAGTTATTTCTCTAGTTCACTCAGTAATGCAAAAAAGAAATTAGAACAGCTTTTGTACTCAATTTAGAGATACTGATGTTTCACCACGGAATGTGATTTGATTTTTTATGCAAATGCAAGGTGCATTGATAAATTGAAGAAGAAATGCAGAATCCAACTAGAGGAATAAGTGTGGCACTATCAGAGATGCTAAATTAACCTTTAGGAAAACATTTAGAAAATTTGTGGAAAATTGAACAACCTGAGAATTAATGATTAGGTCAATAGTCATGATAAAGGAAGATAAAATTTTTAAGCAACTTCCTCCAATAATCTTTCAATCCAAATGAATTTTTACCCTGAGACAAAGAAAAAAATTGCAGTACAAACTCACAGCAATTCAGTATATATTAAAAAGTCAGCAATACCTCAAGCTTCATAAAATATTTATCTAAAATCTTAGTACTTTTATTATCAGAGTCAAATAGAAGGGTAGTGTGGTAAGCAGCCTCTAAATGGCCCCCAATGATCCCACCTCCTGATTATTGAGCCCTGGCATGATCTCTACCCTTGGGTATGGGCTGGATGTAGTGGTTCCTTTGAATCTCCATTCCCCTCTTTGTAAACAGGAATGTCTTATTATGGTTATTCATACCTGATCATCATTATTTGTTAGGAGTGTGAGACAGCTTACTTGTCTCATTACCACCAGGGGTCTTCAGATGGAGAGGAACTGTGCTCCAGGAGCTATACTTGGAATTACACTGAGGAGCTTCACCCTGATCTGATTTCAGTGATGAAATTTTAGACTTCCAGCTGATGTTGCAATGCAGTGAGACTTTTGGAGATCTGGGAGGGTATGAATGTATTTTTGCATGTAATTTACATGTTGTCTATAACACGACTGCCAATGATCTCATCTCCTGGTAGTCCATCCTTTGGGTGTGGGAGGGACCAGTTTCTAATGAGTAGAATACAGCAGATGGGATGGGGTGTTACTTCTGATGTTAGATTGTAAAAGATGGGCTTCTCTCTTGATCTCTCACTTGCTCACTGATGGAGGCCAGCTACCAGGTTGGGAGCTGCCTTATGAAGAGGTCCACATAAGGTAAGTGACTGAGGGAGGTATCCAGCCAACAATCCACAAGGAACTGAATCCTGCCAACCACTATAGAGTGAATTTGGAAATAGATCCTCCCTAGTGGAGCCTCAAGATGAGTATAGCCCTGCCATTGCAGCCACATGAGAGGCCCGGAAGCAGAGGATCTAGATGAGCAATAAAATAATTAACAACATTATGTTGTAATAGAACATTTGAAAAATATAAATCTTATACATACACACACACACACACACACACACACAAAATAAATAAATAAATAAATAAATAAATAAATAAATAAATAAATAAATAAAGTCAAATGCAGTCCTACTACTCAGAGATAATCACTGTTTACATTCAAAATGCATCTTTTCAGCCCAGCCAGCATGAATGGCTCAGTGGTTGAGCGTCAACCTATGAACCAGGAGGTCGCAATTCAATTCCAGGTCAAGGCACATGCATAGGTTACAGGCTCAATCCCCAGAAGGGGGTGCAAGAGGCAACTGATCAATGATTACCTCTCATCATTGATGTTTCTATCCCTCTCTCCCTCCCCCTTCCTCTCTGAAATCAATAAATAATATTTTTAAAAATACACCTTTTTCAGTCTGGTCTGTTTTGTGAATAGAAAGAAAAGTAATATTAAAAGTATCTGTCCCCACTGGCTAGGTGATCAGTTTCTTGAGGTCAGGGACTGTGAACATACCTTTTTTTTTTTTTTTTTTTTTTTTAACTTCTAATATCAATGAGGATTGCCTGGCAGATAAGAAAAGGTCAACTGGACATCATATCAAGGCAACAATGGTAGCAGCTGCTCTTCCAGTTTCACTATGCCACTCAAGGATGACAAAAAGAAGAAAAATGCAGTGGTTAATGGGGGGGAAAAAAACCTATGCAATATTTTCAACAATAAAGATTTTTAAAAAGAAGAAGAATAAAAATGCTGGACAGTCAGCCAAGAAAGACAAAGATCTAGTGAATAAATCTGGGGGCAAAGCCAAAAAGAAGACATGGTCCAAAGTCAAAGCTCAGAACAAGCTCAATAATCTAGTTTTGTTTGACAAAGCAACATATGACAAACTCTAGGGAAAATCCCAGCTATCAGCTTATAACCCCAGCTATTGTCTCTGAGAAACTAAAGATTCAAGGTTCCTTGGCCAGGCCAACCTTTCATGAGCTCCTTAGTAAAGGACTTTTAAAACTGGTTTCAAAGCAGAGAGTTCAAGCAATTTATACCAGAAACACCAAAAGTGGAGATGCCCCAGCTGCTGATGAAGATGCATGAACAACAGGTCCCACCAGCTGCATATTTTGAAAAAAAACTTTATTAAATCAATTTAAAGAAAGAGATCAACTAACACTCTTCAAAATCAAATGACAACACTTGAAACAAAAACTGCAGGGCTACGGAGCAGCAGCAGCCAGGCCCGGAGCAGCCAGGCCAGGCCTGGAACAGCCGGGCACAGAGCAGCCAGGCCCAGAGCAGCCGGGCCTGGAGCAGCAGTGGCCAGGTCAGGAGCAACCAGGCCAGGAGCAGCCAGGCCTGGAGCAGCCAGGCCTGGAGCAGCCAGGCTGGGAGCGGCCGGGCCCGGAGCAGCCAAGCCCAGAGCAGCCGGCTCGGAGCAGCTCGGTCAGGAGCAGCTCACTCCTTGCCTGTCAATGCTCCAGGGCTGCTTCTCAGACATGGCTGGAAACTTTTGGGGGAACTTGAGGGTCTGCTGAATCAAGTGATGAAGGCTTAGATCTGGATGTGTTTTGTTGTTGTAGCGCTGGGGTGTTGATCTGTGAGTGCCTTGTGTGGGGCCTGGATGAGGTTGGTTGATCTATTTGGATGTGTCTTTTGTTTGAAGTGTATCCTTGGGAATGTGGAGGTATTATTGATTTGAGAAAATGCTAAGTAATTGATTTGCTACCTGAAAAATTTAAAGTTCTGAAAGTTTAAGGTCTCTTGCCAAAAAGAGGTTTTAAAGCTAACACCTTAATTTTAATGGAGAAAGGGGAGGACATGCCCTTTCCACCAAGAACAGGTAATCCAGTTCCAGCCAGCAGCTATCTTTAAACAATGTGTTCATTTACATTTGAATGGCTACACCTTTTGATAGCCTAAGGGCAAGTTTACATGTAAACAAGTTTGCTTCTCAGTTCCCAGGGCATAAAAAAACAAGGTTTAAAATTATTAGATTTTAAAATTCTTAAAAATATAAAAGTTTATTAATTAAAAAAAAGAAATTAAAAAATATGATGGACAATATTAACTGTTGATTATAATAGAATCAGAGATACGGGAGGGGAGTAGACTGACAATTCTCCGGGGAAAAGGGGAGTGGTGGGTGGGGGAAGAGACTGAACATAAACTGAGCATCTATGGATAAGGACAATGTGGGGTGGGGAAAGGGCAGAGGGTGGGGTGGGAACCTGGTGGAGGGGGAAAAAAATGAGGAACTTTTGTAATAATATGAACAATAAAGATTGATTTAAAATAAAAAATAATAAAAAACTGCAGGGCTAAAATAGGATGTTTATTATAAGTATTTTCTCAATGTGAATTTTTATTTTTTTCATGTGTCATACATAAAATTATAGTAAAAAAATTACCATAAGCAGATGTAGCACCTCCATTTCCATGATCAGCATACTGTGTTGCAGTAACTAAGTTTATATTCCACCATCAAGTGTAGTTCTTCCATTAGTTCACTTTGTGAATTCCTTCAAATCCAACAGTCTCCTTGAGAGGGCAGGGCGGAGTTATCCTCCATTCTGTAATTGAACCCTAGCCCTCACCCAACCAATCAGGGTCAGCCGAGGCAGTGACATCACCACCGACCGGAGTAAAACCCCTGGACTGGGCGAAATTCGCTCTCTCTTCCGCCATGCTGCCGGTGTGAGTGGGAGGAGCCCATGCTAGCATGGAGAAGGCTCTTTTGTTTATTGCATCGGACTCGGCTCCCTGCTGGTCCTTGGGGATCATGAAGTCTGGGCGTAACATCATCATTACTCCTCAAAATATCCAAAGAAAGGTTTGAACTTGGAAGAAATGGAAGATTCTGAACCTGTTGAATTGCCTTAAATTCCATTTGTAATTTTAGTGGGGTAAACAGAACCTAGATGCTTTTCAGTGTGGAAAAAAAATCATTTTATCTTGATCAAACTGGAATTTTTTTTTTTTTTTCTGACAATTTAAGAGACCAACTGGGCAAAAGTTCATTTTTCACACAAGGAAAACCTTCAAAGAAGATTATGACTTTCAAAGGGTCGATTTGTTGAAAGTTCAGTAACTCCAACATTGTCCTATAGCTGAGA